ACGACCTTTTAAGAAATCATGCTGCACAGGGGAAAGAAGCTGATGCGCAGCCACGTAGTCACTGATTTCTTGCGCGACGACCTTCTCCATGATACGACAGACTACAGATGTAATATTTATGGGACGATGATTCTGAATTTCTGACGTCGGCCCAGATTTATACTTGGGAGATATGTATGACAGCTTCCAGCGGTCAGGGTAGCATGCCTCAGTAAGGGATATTGGGAATAGCTTCATGAGGATCAACGGTATATCTTCACCACCCCTCTTAAGCAGAACAGACGGGATCCCATCGGGTCCGGCAGAATATGAGTCCTTTAGTGAAGCAACTGCATCACCTATCTTTCTCTGTGCAAAGGAAACATTACTTAGCGAGTGGTGTAGTGGAATGGGCATTTGTATGTTTAGTACACTATCTTCGTGCGTGAAGCAGCTTGCATAATGTTCGCTAAACAGCTCACAGATCTTTCTTGGGTCATCATAAAGAATGTCCCCATCGATGGTCAGACTACTGGGAATAACTCTAGATAAGTTTGCACGGGACTTTAGAATTCTCACTAATGATTGAGAATTGCCAGTTTGTGCGTTGCAGCTGGTTTCTTGCTTGATTGCTTTCAGTAACTTATTTGATTTGAAGTTCTCATGAGCAATTTTTAGCGAGACAAGGGATGAAAAATCATTAGATCGATAGAAATTTCTGGCATGTCTGCGCATGCTGATACGTACTTTTTTAGGGATGAAATTCACTTTCGGCTTTCTAATTAGTACTGATACCTCCGGAGCAATGTGGTTGTGAATTGCATTCATGGAACTGTGGAAGATGTCACTTAGTTCATGGGTTGAGCTACTGGTGAAGTAAGAACCCCAGTCCAAGCATCGCAACTTGTATTGTATCTCTTCCCAGATGGTATTTTTATATCGTCTAACTGTGGTTGTTTTTGACCTGGGAGCCAACGTATTTCTGGGAGATAGTCGGAATTCACCAAACACTACTGTGTGGTCGCTGCCCGGGAATTCTGGACCAACTTGAAGAGTGAAAGGCAATAATCCATTAGTGAAAACTAGGTCAAGTATGCTATTATGTCTAGTTGGTTGCACTACATGTTGGCGCCATCCTCCAGAATCCAACACATTAATAAAATTATCAAACCGCCTAGGAGAGGTAAGTGTCTGCCACTTGATGTCAGGCATATTAAAGTCACCGCATATAAGTTTCATGGAGTAGGGCAGTGTTGTTACGTGGGTGAACACTTCTGCAAGCCTGTCATAATAATCTACGGTAGAACAAGGGGGACGGTAGATACACCCCAAGAGGATAGTTATATCATTAGTAAACTTCACCACAACCCACACTAAGTCACTGAGCGAACTGAGTTCTGAATTAAGACAATTTGTCGCAGCAATGTCGGACCGGATATAGATGATGCAACCACCACCTCTACCATTATATCTGCCTCCCCTAAACAGAGTGTAATTGTCGACAGAGACATCACTATCAGGAGTGTCTGGAGTGCACCAAGCTTCAGTGATAAATATCAGGCAGGGGTTAGACATAGTCGACAACACAGTGATCTCACTTATTTTGTTGCGTATGGAACGGGCGTTAATCAGACAGAAGGTTGAAGAATTGGATAAGCAGTAGTACCTAAACCTGTTTTCGGAAAGCATTTTCTCGCAGGTTAGTTGGAACTGTAGTGGTGAGGAAACTGGGGTAGAATTTAATTTCGGGGACTTAATAGGGGAGTAAGATACTACGGGGTTACTACTTATATCCTTTATTGTGTTAGGTGTTGGCCCACTGTATATGAGCCAGGAGGATGACAGGTTGGCGTAACGTCTTCCCCGCCACTGTAGCGGTTGTGATTTAGGATTGACAGTAACTGATTCGACAGCGTCACCATCTGAACAGCAAAAGGCGCTAATAGTTTTTGAAGACCGCGAAAATTTGGGCCTTCAGAATGAGCCGTGGGTATGGGTGTCTGCGGAAATGAGCCAAGTAAGTCTGTGGCTTCACTTCCGCATGGGAAGGGGTAGGGTGCACTATGTTGGGGAGCCAGTATCAGTGGCACCACGTCGGCCCAATGTTCGGTGTTTGCGTTATGAGTAGTTGACGTGATTGACCAGTCTGCAAAACCCAATTTTTCGTCAGACTAAAACGTCTATTTTAACAGCAAAATTTATGTCCGAAGCTTTACTGACCAAGAATAACTCACTTCAATGATTTCACGAATAAGTAAGTTTTCAAACAGACATTTAATCCAGTTGATTATCTAGATCCAAGCATTTCTCACTCTTCGAGTGTTATCTTTCCCAGTAGTTCAGACCGATAATTCTAGAAACATTTGTTGTGGTGCAAGTAGTCGAAGACTGGTAGAATCGTTGTTCAACAGTAGTGGATTTTACACATGTGTAAAACTCCATACATTTCACATCGAAGTATGCAGCATTGTCAAGGAGATACATTGAATGTTAATTGACTTCTATTAGATAGATTCATAAAAGATAAGGTACCAGAAAAATCTGTTGCATAGCATTATTATGGATATGTTGCCTTGAGACAGAGTGATCTCTCGAATTGAGTTGTTCATCCAGATTTCCACTGCATTTGTGACGGACCAGAAATCGGAGGCTGGTTGTCGTGCTTGAGATTTCACGCATGGATGTAGTGATCTTGTGCAGTGAAGTGATCCGACCTCCTCTGGCACATATATCCTTCTAATCAAGTACCACAGTATCAATCCCAAAGATTAAAAATAGGGCTACCTCCCCAAACGGTGAATGCATATTGAAAACTCCTTTACCAACAAGACACTGTAAGCAGCGCACTCTTGTAGTAAGTTTTCGTGAACCATTCCACATTATTATGCTGATGGTCGTCTCTGTCGCAACTGAATTCAAACACAACAGGATGGTTATATTCAAAAATTCCACTGCTACCGCCGACGGAATTTTCCCTACAGCCCCGACAACCACCCCTCGGACTCAAATGCAACTGCAAAGGCTGCAGCAGCAGTCATAACGCGTAAGTTAATCAATTATTTTGAAGTTGCTTGAAGGCTACCTGAAGCACATCTCACTGTGAGTGCAGAGTTTACACTGTTTGTTTGAATATGGACCACCGTCAACAGAGATATTTCCAGACAATATCGTAGATGGTATTTGTCCACCTTTTACTTCCGTGTGAGGGCTTCAAACTTTGGAAGTGAGTCACGGTTGGGAATTTTATTCCAGCTATGCGGGTCACGAAGCTTCACAAACTGGTTCCTTCGGCAAGCCAATGAGTACAGTTTCAAATTCATTGATGACAAAATCACCTTGAGTTGCATTTAGCCTATATCTTTCAAGACGGATTCACCCACCGAATACCTTTGACTGGTGTTTAGACTAGGAAATGAATCGACCTTGCGTGTTACAAAACGACCGTTCGAAGTAACGGTGATGTAAAAATCCGTTTTACAGGAGCAAATAAGAGCTTTCAAAGAACGAGAAGTAAAGGTTTGACGAAATTCTGCCATAACGATTAGAAATACATGAAAAGATGCTTCCACAGCTTGTTCGCCGAGGCGGCTGGAGAGTGGGAAGATGACCACCTCGAAGTCTGACCTTAATGGAGCGACAACCTTCACGATGTAGAAGCAGAAATGTTCAACCAAATAATGTCTTCCCAACGGATTTGACTGGAGACAGCAGCTGGAAAGTCATAACCAGGTGGGGAGAAGGGCTGTTAAGAAGAAGCATTGTAAGAAATTCTTCTATCTCAATCCTTTTCTTATCATAGCGCGATTAGAATGTATTCAACCAGTCGCATCTGTGTGGATATGGAGAGTGAGGTCAACAACAATATTAGCCATCAATATTGACACATGGAAAGGTACAACCTAGAAGTAATAGGTGCAGTAGGTTTTCACCAGGACATACGCATAACAACCTTACTGCTGCCTTGCACATTTTCCGGCACATCAAAATGCATGCTTCCTGATGCACATGGTGATTCTGCAATTTCAATGAATCTGAAGAACCAGGATAGGTCAAAGAAACCATGAGTAACTTAACGCGATCCATTGAAAAAATTAGCGCTAGAAAAAGTGACAAACATTTCTGGCAGGTCAGGAAGGCAGAAGATAAAAAACGAGAATTCACATTAAGGCATACTTCGGGAAATGCTGCGAGACCCTGCTGCTGCCTCTGCCTTTTCAGAACACTTTTAGCCCACACCTCATGCGATAGCTGGCGAAAATATTGACAAGGGATGGTCAATACAACGCTATGAAGACGTTATGTTCAGCCTCAGGACAAAGCGTACGTCTCCCTACAAGTTTGATCAACATCCAAACGTCCATCGGGCTAACCAGGGCTACGACAGACCAGCGGTGGGTCTACGGAATCGGAACCCACCAAGAACTTGGAATTTTCCCACGAAACCCGGAATCATGAAGGAAGAGGTAGACCTCTATATACGAGCCCATAAGAATGGTACTCGTCATTGGGTGTCATGTAGAGTTCTAAAAACGAACGGAGCCTGACCTATCTTCTAGTTTTCCTACCACAAGGATGGGAAACTACAGAGGAGATAACAAAAGTCAAAGAAGAATCCCACAATCACAAGTGACATTTTTGGCATTAGATAATCAAATCTTGAGAGCCGATCCCACCAGAAATGAAGTCCCAAGTCATGGACTGAACCATTCAAGGGAGGGTTGGGAAACACAGCGACTGGAAAAGGACTAAATTAGTTTCATAACCTTCTATCCTCAACTACCAAAATCCAAACGTCGGCTGCCCAAATAGACACTCCATCGTATCACTTTCAGGTTGCATCTCGGAATCACATTCACGAGGGTGGCTTTCGAGATCTGAAGGCGATTAGGATAGAAAGCTAAAAATTCCAACAAACAGTCGCAGGTAAACACAATAACTATGGTGCTCGTCTTATGAAAAGGCATCCATACTTTCCCCCCTTCCTGATCTCGTTCGGAGATGGAGATCTTCGCCTGTGCTAAATGGATAGTTGGAGTTATGCTTCTTTCTGCTTCAATAGAAACTTATCAGAAGACGAATTGTCATCACATTTGTTCATTCAATTTCCAACTGATTTGAAAGAAAAGAGGATTTACAGGAAAGGACTGACGTGGTATAAACTTCTTGAAAACAATGTTTCCCTCTGCTGTTCATTTTTCGACAGTTGTTTTACTGTATTTGACAGGTAAATTCGAGTCACCCGTTACTATGTGAGTTATTTGACGACCAGTGAATTGATTTGTTTTCAACACGAAATACAGGAATATTCAAAATGACAGAGCAAGTCACATGCCGATCCCGAATGTCTATATGGGAACGGAGTGTGGAGAAATCAGAGAAGTTAATATATCACTCATTGGCAGACGAGTTGTACACAAGGAAAGCTTTGGTACCATCTGCTACGTTGGTGAGCTACCTAATTCAAAAGATTTTTGGTTGGGTGTTAATTGGGATGACGCGTCACGGGGACGACATGATGGGACTTACAATGGTGTTCGTTATTTCCAGACCAAGAACCCAACATCCGGTTCATTTGTGAAGTTAGTAACATAATTTGAAATTGTATGCATTCAGGGGAGTTTTTATCAAATTACTAAGGTGTATTTGGTTGAAATTATACATAAACAAGCCTAAATTGATGGTTCGTGTAACAAATACAATATTGTATTTTCCTAGTAAGAAATCTAGTTAACCTTGGAAGATATGGTACTACTAATAGAGAAATATTATTTAGCTAGCGCAGATTAGACGATCAAAATCACATAAGAACTAGCGATCAGATATATTAGTTTGAATTGCTACACTTTACCAAATCCACGTTTCAACCCTTTGTTTAATTCCGAATAATTTTAGGGGAAATAAATAGTACATGTGATTAAAGCACTTCAAACTCCCGATCGGACAGACGAAATCAAGGTAGAACTTCGCACGCAGGTACATCGGTCCAAGTCGCCCCACTTTACAGTAGTAAACAAATGACAGGTGGATAGAAAAAGTGATATCAAAGCAGGCGAAGTTGTGTAAGAATAAATGACTTGAAGGTAAAGGTTAGTGCGAATGTTCAAGCTTTAAAAGACGTCAAGAAGTGAATACATCTGCACCATTGTCACCGATTTTCAAGCATGTCATCAAGAGTTCTCGACCACTGATTCTTGTCGTTTCGGTGATCCTAGCCAGGAAGTCCGCACCTGTTGTAGCGGGAATGGGACGCACATGTCGATCCTACAACTCTTGATTTCGAGAAAGCTGTATTGAACTTGAAATGATGCTAAGCAACAGGACATGACAATTTGCCACCCAAAATATCTAAGGATGAAGGTAGGAAATCGTCAATTAAGCTGACGGGGGTACTAGGTAGTGGATGGGAATCAGCCCGACCGATAGCTGCTACCTTGACGTGGTGGTCGGGCTTGCATATCACAATGACCCAACGAGCTATGCTGGTGGAACGCTTGTTCCCTCGAGGTCCTACCATACCAGAAAGGTCTGTTGGGTAGTGGTTAGACGAAAAGCAGTTACCGTCATAGTGTAAATTGCTATACTATGATGGGGGTCTGAGGGCGAAGTCGTACTGCTGCTAGCTGGATGGGGTGTGACAGCAGTAAGGTGTTTCCCTTGGATGACCAGCAGTGCCAAGCTGATGCTGCCTTCTCAGTGGAAGGGGGGGTTAGAAAAGGTCGGCCCCAAAAATAACACACTCCACCACGCCCCACGGTCTGCCGGGCCGGCGGTGTTGGTTCACTTGTCGTTTCCTTTCGCTCATCCGGCCCCAAAAATACAAAAATTCAAAATAATCATACTCAAAAGGCTGGGTGTGACAGGCCTCAAGCAGATGTCCGATGGGCTCTGCGGTCACACAAATCTCTTTCAGGTACCTTAAGAAGAAATAGCCTTCCACGGTGTGGGCAGCCGGGAAGTGTCAACCGCCCTCACAACTCTGTCAGCACCCAAGTTTCTTCTGACTGCTATCCTCCTCCTCCATCATTACCTTCTAATCTTCCTTCACGTCTCTTAATTAATGATGCTGCATCATCTTCAATTTCTCCTACCTCTGCAGCCTTCGACAACGATCTGAGTCCACAGAACAGTGTCCCTGGTCTCCTTAAACCACGCTCCAAATTACATATTGGAGCCTTCAATGTCCGCACCCTCCGTCAAATTGGCCAACAGGCTTCGTTGGCAAAGACTCTAGCAACTCGAGGCATGGATGTGTGCTGTGTTTGTGAGACACGCATACAGGACCCAAGTGTGGTTATTCACCTGACCTCTCCTGACCAATCTGGTGAATCTGCAAAATTCACCCTTCGAGTTTCTGGAGATTCGATAGCTAGCTCTCGTGGTCTTGCAGGTGTAGGTATAGCATTAAGCACCAGGGCAGAAAACTCACTACTAGACTGGATCCCAGTTGATAGTCGCCTCTGCGCTATGAGGCTGAACGGCACAGTGAGAACTAAAAGGAATAGTGAGACTCGCCGTTGTCTCTTTGTAATCTCTGCTTACGCACCCACTGACTGTAGTTCGGATGAAGTGAAGGACGAGTTCTACCATAAACTGTCTAACCTCCTCTCGAAAGCCAAACGTTCGGACGTAGTGGTTGTTGCAGGTGACCTCAACGCACAGGTGGGTAGACTGAGTGAGGCAGAAAGGCACTTAGGTGGCACTTTCGGAATCCCAGCTGAACGTACAGATAACGGTGATCGCCTATTACAACTATGCTCAGATAACCGCCTATTTTTAGCCAGCACAAATTTCAGACATAAAGAAAGGCACTGTCTGACCTGGCGTCCACCGAGCTCGACTCAGCGATGGACACAGATAGACCACATTGCTATTAGTCATCGCTGGAGAGGATCGGTGGAAGACTGCCGCTCCTTCTGGAGTACGTGTTTGGACAGCGATCATGCGTTGGTCCGAGCACGTATATGCCTGCGTCTCAATGGACGTAGAAAAAATTTGGCAACAAAACCACTACGAGTTCTGCTGGACAACGAAAACACCAAAGCCGTGTTCAGTGAGAAGTTGGCTAGGCAGTTATCGGAACAAAAGACTGTCACTCATCCAGAAGAAGCTTGGTGCCATCTTCAGTCTACTGTAAAAGCAGCACTGGAGACTGTAGCCGACTCCAAGATAATGGCTAAAAAGAGCCAGTGGATATCAGCAGCTTCTTCCAAACTAATGGATGCACGTGAATGCATCCCTGCAGGCTCTGAGTACAATGAAGAGCGAGCGCAACTTAAAAATAAACTGACGAAAAGTCTGCGCAACGATCGTGAACAGTGGTGGGCAGCAAAGGCTAAAGAGATGGAAAAGGCAGCGGCGATCGGTAACAGTAGACAGTTATTTAGACTTATTAAGGAGACTGGGGGGAAATGGTCAACAACAGTTAGTGAGGTTATAGCGGAGAAGGACGGATCGGCGATTCACTCGCAGGGAAGGCGACTGGGACGATGGGCAGAACACTTTGAGGAACAGTTTAACTGGCCTCCAGCCACCATTGCGCTGCCCGCTATCCAGTCGGACCCTGAATGGGACATAGAGACAGGTCCCCCAACACTAGAAGAAGTTGAGAAAGCGGTAGGTAGCCTGAAACGGGGAAGGGCAGCAGGACCAGACGGACTACCTGCTGAGGTATACAAGAATGGTGGTAGAGTTCTCTTAGTCAGGCTAACGGAAGTGTTAGCCAGTATATGGGAATCAAATACGATCCCCTCCGACTGGTCTAAGTCACTGATCATCCCAGTCTTCAAGAAAGGCGAGAAGTCCTCTTGTGATAACCACAGAGGAATCAGCCTGACAAACATAGTGTCTAAGATCCTAAGTTCTATAATTCTCCGACGCCTGAGTGGAGCTCGGGAACAGCAAGCCCGAGAAAACCAGGCAGGCTTTAGACCTGGCCGTGGATGTATCGACCAAATATTCACACTGCGCCAGGTCCTGGAACATAGGCATGCTTACAGACGCCCGACAATAGCTGTATTTCTCGACCTGAAGGCGGCATTTGACTCCGTTGATCGAGAAGTCTTATGGCAGTGTCTGTCACTGAAAGGCGTGCCTAGTAAGTACATCACCTTATTGAAAGCTCTCTACTCGAACACTTGTGGGCATGTTAGAGCCTATGGTGAGTTGTCCAGGGAGCTATACTCATCAAGTGGTGTCCGTCAAGGATGCCCACTATCCCCATTCTTATTTAATTTTATCATAGATATTCTTATGGAGGTTTCCCTCTCGTCACCTAATTACAAAGACGTTGACCGGATCACAGGTGAATTTTCCTTAGATCTAGAATATGCAGATGACATAGTCCTGTTAGGTGAAGACGCTGACAAGATGCAGAGTCTTCTGAACACTTTGAGTGGGAATTTGAGAATGTTTGGGATGCGATTTTCACCACCCAAATGCAAATTTTTGCTCCAGGACTGGTCTTCAGCGGTACCGCGGTTAACAATAGAGAGTGAAGTGGTTGAGTGTGTTGACCACTTCACTTACCTGGGAAGTAGGATCAACTCCGGTGGGTTAGTTGCCGATGAGATTTCTGCACGGATACAAAAGGCTCGATTGGCTTTTGCCAATTTGCGCCACCTATGGCGCCGCCGTGATATTCGTTTGTCTATTAAGGGTCGCGTGTACTGCACAGCAGTCCGCTCTGTTCTACTGTATGGCTGTGAAACATGGCCATTGAAAGTGGAAGACATGAGAAGGTTACAGGTATTTGACCACCGTTGCCTTCGTAGTATAGGACGTATTCCGTGGTGTCACCATGTGAGTAATGCAGAAGTTAGGTGTAGAGTTTTAGGGAGAAGAGGTAAGTCAGTCGACGAGGTTGTGAACCTTCATCGACTGAGATGGTTGGGACACGTACTACGTATGCCTAGTCACCGATTGCCTCGTCACACAATGTTGGCTGAGGTGGGTTCAGGCTGGAAAAAGGCCCGAGGTGGCCAGACTAAAACATGGCACCAATGTATGAAGTCTCTGACTGTTGGTTTAAGCCATGTAGGACGATGCAGACTAGGTGGTTGGGGTCCACGGGACAAGAGGAACCAGTGGTTGGAGACCCTAGGTGATATGGCTCAGAACCGAAGTCAGTGGCGCAGATGTATACACACATTATCCTCATCTTAACAACGCTATACCGAATCTCACTATTTTGTCACTCCTCTTTCCTTTCTTCTCGTACTTTATATTTCTTTTGACTGCATTCACTTATCTTCATCCTTCACCTCACTACCTTTTTACTTGATGTGCTGATATGAGGTGTGGCAACTCGGACCGTTACGCAGTAATGCCTGGTCCTATGTTGATAATGATGATGATGGATGGGAATCAGAGGTAGTCCCATAAGACTGGTGTACTTTACTGATTATTCTATCCTGTATGAAGGGGAGAAGTCTCCCTTCGAGAACGATAGGAGAATTAGTTTGACTGATATTGTGTCCGAGATAAGATCGAAGGCTCTATAGTTATCCGACACCTAACGGAGCTCGAGTAAACCATGCAGGTTCCAGACCTGGATAAGAGTGCATCGATCATATTTTTTTTACCTCTGACGGGTTCCGGAACAAAAGCCTGCTTACCGGTGACCAGTACCTGCTTTTTTTTTACCTGAATGCAGCATTTAACTCTATCGACTGTGAGGTGTTGGGACGATGTTTGACTGTGAAGAGAATACTGAGAAAGTATGTAACGCAAATCAAAGCTGTCTACTCAAACTCACGCAGCCGTGTGCGTGCTTACGGAAAGTTGTCATTTGAGTTGACGTTAGCTAGTGGTGGCCACCAGGGATGTCCACTGTCACCGTTCCTATTTAACTTCGTCGTAGACGTATTAATGGATATAATCTTAGGTACACCCGACTTCACAGGGCTTGATCTACTCCGCAGAGGTCATTTGTTTGATTTAGAGTGTGTAGACAATATTGTCCTGCCAGATGAAAACGCAAACATAATCCAGAGTCGTGTGAACACGTTGAGCAGAGATTTGAGTATTTTTTTCACGCCTTTTGCACCTGTCAAATGTAAGATGATGCCCAGTGATAGCGTAGGGTAGTTGCATCAGCTCGAACGGAATAATTGCTGACTAAATCTCAGCTTGGTTACAAAAGGCCCGTGTAGTACTTGCCAACTTACGTCATCTGTAGCACGAACTAGTGAGATATCTGACTAGCCGGTTAAGGGAGAGTAAACTGTGCTGCAGTCAGTTCTGTCATATTATGTGGCTGTAACAGATGGCCGTTAGACGTAGCAGACATGAAGTGATTACAAGGTTTTGATCACAAATGTCTTCATAGCATTGCTCGCGTATGATGGGATCACCATGTGACCAATGTTGAGGACACGGGACGGGTAATGGGCAAGATAAGAAAGTGGAATGTTAAGGTTGTGAGCTTTCAGCGACTAAGATGGCTTGGACATGTACTGCACATGTCAATCCACTGCCTATCTCGACGTGCCATGTTGAGGGAAGTTGAATTATGTTGGCAGAGGGTTCGGGCTGACCAGGTTATAACGTGGCGCCAGTTGAAGAAGTCCCAAGCTGTAGGTCTGAACTGTGTGGGGAGATGTAGACTGCTTGGTTGAGGTCCTTAAGACGGCAGGAATCAGTGGTCGAGAACTCTTGATGACATGCTTGAAAATCGGTGACAATGGTGCAGATGTATTCACTTCTTGACGTCTTTTAAAGCTTGAACATTCGCACTAACCTTTACCTTCAAGTCATTTATTCTTACACAACTTCGCCTGCTTTGATATCACTTTTTCTATCCACCTGTCATTTGTTTACTACTGTAAAGTGGGGTGACTTGGACCGATGTACCTGCGTGCGAAGTTCTACCTTGATTTCGTCTGTCCGATCGGGAGTTTGAAGTGCTTTAATCACATGTACTATTTATTTCCCCTAAAATTATTCGGGATTATATGAAGGGTAAATTGTGGATACGACGAGAATCGAATATGCATTGTAAGTTCTTGCATAGGTGACTGTTCTAAACTATTATCACTTTCTAGTTCAATAATGTTTGACTTACTTAAATCTTGGCGGGGATATACACGTTTTATCCCCAGTTGATTTTAAGTTATATTACTTGATGTATTTAGTCTTTTTTAATTGGTTAACATATCTTCTGTCATAAAATTAGAGTGACAAACAACGTAGAACCGAAATAAATTATGAAGTGAAGTAATTTGCCATATTTTGTGGTAGCACGGAATGTGAACGTCAATTAGCAGCAAGATATTACAATGTATAGATAAAAGATAGATAAACGAAACCTAATAAAAATGTCAGAATTCTGTATGCATCAGTGCCACTGTAATCAGTTTAGATCCGTGTTATCAAAAGAACCAAACTGTGAGGTTGCATTACTTTCCTTTCATGCACTGCAACTTTCAAATATTTCATTTGTAATTTTTAAATGTTGTATTATTTTTCAACTTAGTTATACCTAAAAGCATGCCTTATATGAATAGTTAGTCTTTCCTTAATTAATTTTTATCTATAAAACTTTGCAATGCGACAGCCATGTAAAGTCAGTCAATATCAGCATGAAACCTGGCATTATCGCCTAACAGTTCAAGTTGCCGCACCCTATGTCAGCACATTGAAATAGAAGGCACCAAAATACAGCCATGTACATTCCTATGTAGTAGACTATCCGGTCGCGTAGGTTAAAGTAGGTAGGGTGGGTTTGAATAAATGATGCAGTTGGCGGTCAGTTATGTAGAACGCCAAATTAATAACTTTTTTGGCCTCTTGGAATAGTTGGCTCTTTTGACTAACAATATTCCTAGTCTCAATAATCACCTCATTCTTTTTTATTATTTATGCATCTCACTCATGTTATTCAGACCTTCAAAAGTGTCGTTAGGCACTAGTTTGGAAGAGGCGCTCGTATATAGATACGCTGTCTGTGCACGTTGTCAGCTGGAAGCTCAGATCACTTTATGTTCAAATGAAAAGCCTGAGAAGAGCCTCGTCAATGAAATGAATCAACCAAGTCGCCTAGACGCTTATCTTGATGATACTTTTGCTACTCCAGAAGCTGAATACTCTGGCAACAGTGGGCATTGTTTAGATGCAGTACGAGTGGAACTTTACACTACTCCTCGGATTAACCAAAATGAAATTTCTAACTCTCATAGTTCATGTGGTGCATCTGCAGCAAAGTTTTGTCTTAGTCAACTAAAAAGTGTTAGTTTGTCATTTGTACCAGTGTATCGTGCATTACACTGGAAAAGTGACTGTTTTCCCGATCATCACAGTGAACGCTCATCTCTTTGGCCATCAACTGGAGGCTGTATTGGCCAGTTTTTAACAAATATATGTGATTTAGAACTAAGTAACTGTTTGCTTTCCAAGTGGACAGAAATCGCTGAGGTGAGTTTTCTTTTTTGCTAAACCTGAACATTTATTTCTGTACAAAAGCTAAATGCGCTTATTTTCTAAATGTTAGATGTGTATTCAAATTCCGTGGCTGAAATCTCTTAATGTTAGTAACAACTGCATTCGTTTACCTGTCTCTCCGACCGAAGCCTCTGAGAAATGCAATGCTAATGGATGTTTGGAGTCAAGACTATTGTATGACGTCGATTCAGATCCTGTTTTAAGTGAACAATTGTGCTCAAATGCTTTTCCTCAACTGTCTCAGCTGACCTTAGTTAGATGTTCCCCTTTAGATTGGAAATGTGTTCGACGAATTGTATGTTGGATGCCATGTTTACGATCGTTATCACTTGCCTACAATAATGTAAGTTATTCTTTTATTGAGACTTAAGAAAATCAAATGTTTATCTGTACTTTATTACGATAGAATAATTTATTTAGACTGATTTCTGTGAAATCTACCGAATTCTATCTCTGGTATTTATTTATTGATAATATTTCGCCAACTTTAATTTCCTTGATATAAATGGCCATATAACATTCGACTCAGTTTTTGAATATTCAGTCGAATTTTACCGATTATCTCGAATTTTAGTCAAATTATCTGACTTATTTCTCTCACAACTCCTAGCTCTAGGATTGAGTAGTCTGTTTGTACTATTGATACAGTAAGTGATTTTTCTGTTTTTAACTATGATATCCGGTTTGTGTTATCTCCAGCGGTGAAGTAGCTACGTAGTGTTCTTGATGTAAAGGGCCTAAATTATCAATTAACTGTTATCAATTCAAAGACATTCACCTCATCCTCGGGCTTCACAGACAAATGTAGCGCTCAACAGAGTGCAAAATCTTGTACACGACCGATTAGTCTCATTAAGAATGCTGTAAAAATATGTTACCTCGCCTAAAAAGTATAATGTTCGCTAAAGTTTCTTTGAAGAGTGGTAAAGAACTCTGAAGAGTAGCTGCAAATTTTTCACTAAGAATCACTGCCCTGCATTACTTATGAACCACTAAGGAATTTAAGTCGATTATTTGTCACAGCTACCCTTACTTATTTTTAGCAAATCTTGCTGCATGTATGAAATAGTTCAATAGAAGTTTGGAGCGTAAAAATACTGGCTAACGGGACCGCAAATAAGATGACTTTATAGGCAATTTCAATTTTGATGTAAGCAAGTCTTCTCACTTGTGAAATGTAACTATAAATGTGGCTAACTGATTATAGTTCTTATTTTGCTGATCTGACTTCTTTGATTCAACAAGGTATAATTCCACTTGAACCACAGTAAAGAACCTTAACAAAAATTATTGCATTCGGGTTGGTATCTAACTTAGCAGAATGTTGTGTTAGCTTGTGGAGAACAGCTGACAGTTTTTGGAATCAGTATAATGAATTGTTAAAAATAAATTCATTGGGAGTACGAAAAGCTACTTGAGTCGAAAAACGTTTTAGACATGTTAACTAGTTTACTAAAATAGCATTCATATGAACACTCCGTTTTGTTCCAGATCGCCAAAAGTATTACTTAGGTTCAAGAAAACATTTTCCGCAACTGAACAGTCCGCCTGATTAAATTTTGTAGCGTTTTACATAGTCTGATGTGAAACAAGTGCGTGTGTCTAAAATTTGTGATGTCTTAGAAGTATTGCATAACATTCATCTTTTCCTTCAAAAACGTGATACGGGGTATAACATTTCGTTCTACTTAAGTCCTTTGTTGTATGCTACATCAAAACATTAGTTTGCAAGATGGAATAAAAATAGATACAATTAGTATCAAAAATCGCAGAAAGCCATGAAAGTAAATGACGGAATGTCTTCTGTAGCGATATAGATGTATATAGATAAAATTACAGCGTGAATACATTCTCGTCACTGCCATCTACTTCAGATCGCATCACCTAGTTCCCAACCATCTATTTCATTCGTCTTGGGAACTCCAACCATACAGTCTGTTTCCTTATGCGGCTCTAACATGTGGTCAAAGAATTCATAGACTGATATCATGATTTAATCTGACTGTTTATAGCTTTCTTTCAATCTAATTCTGCTTCAGGTGAAATTGCACATTGGGTAAATGAAGCACGCGTAACATATTTCAGTTACCTCGGTTAGTGAAGGTCTACAAAGTGGTCTTCTGACTTGCGCATTTTACCTAAGACCTTACACCTAACTTCTAGATTATGTGTATGATGGCTCCATGACACAAGGGTAATGCTAGTAAGGCAAAAGTGATTAAATACCTGAATCTTTCTCATTTCATAGCCATTTTGCACACTCAGCTTAGAAAACAGCTAAATACTGTTTAGTGCACTTGATGCTTCATAGATATTTTGGATGTTGCTGGCTCCACAAGTAGTTTAAGCTGGCGAAAAGTGAACGAGCTTTTCATACAGCTAAGAGTATTCGACTCAGGTTAGTGAAGTGGCCAGTGTTCAACCACCTCACGCTGTATTGTTGGATGAGAATCAACAGACCCAGAAGTTGAAAGAATTCTCCGATTATCACTCAGCGTGTTAAGAAGACCTTGTATCTTGTTAGCGCGTGTTCATCTCAGGAACGGGACCACATCATTTGCGTACTCTAACCCCATTAAAGTGTCCTAGGAGATCGATCTATGTTGAGTTCATTGAAGAGAAAAAGACCTACATAAGGGTATATGTGAAAAGGTTATATAAAATTTGCGAAAGTGAACATCCTTGGCAGACACCATTATTACATATTATTGGAACACAAACTTAGTACTATATGGGAACTGAAGGATATGCCATCCAGTATAGTAAAGTAACATTGGAAAGGCATAACATTCAAGAAAAAGTGGAAAAACAAAAACAAAAGGATTTTTGAAGAAACTGTCTCAAATACATCTGGAAAGGCGATCACTGCTTTCGTTTTGCTTCCCAGTAATAGATGAAAACGAGGAGCTACCACATGATAGTCACTGGTTTCGATTCTGAACCATTTCTGCTGTCGTCTCTAACCACTGGGTTGCATGATCTCTTGGACTCCACACACTCCACATATTCAAAAACAGCAACTGCCCTTCATTACACAGGGCCATGTCAAACACTGGTGATTTCTACACTTCTTCCAACCAATCCCAGGGTGGGTGGATAGTGAGCGATGAGGTAACTACTGGGACGACGTGTGCAGCACATGTTTGAGCCACCGAACCCTTTATTTCAGAGGATCTCAATCATTGAACGACGGTCTCCATCATGCCCAAATACACTACCTCACCTCAGTCAGACTACATAGCGTTTCAACCGCATGTAAGCAATCTCACGGATACAGTAGTGATCAAAAGCGTTGTCATCGGGCATCCTAAGGTCGGAAAGGCCAGGTCTTACAGACGTAGTGGGGTTCTGCTCTCACTGACGCGTTGTATACCTGACCTTTTACACCATGGTTAACGTCGCAGTGGCGCTAAAGGTAACCCAGATTGGCGAATGCCACTCAAGCTTTCAGTCTACGGCTTGAAATTTCATCAGTCACACCTCCACCAGTGCTCGCGCAACTGCCCAGTTATGCTTATTTGTCGACAACTTTCAGTGATTTGCCGTCAAGAATGAGTGCAAGCATAGGCTTCCGCTAAATTTGAGGAAGCACTTTGCACTTGGGTGACGCGAAGCACGTACCATAATTCTGGAAACTGATCACTAACTGACTGAATGCGACTTGATTAGCCTTTATGTTACAGTGAAATGATGTCACCGGCATACTTGAGGTCAAAAGGCATTTCACCTAGTGGCAGGCCCACACTGCCACTACGCCATTGCTTTAGGGCTATCTCTAGAATGTCCATTGTTGGCAAGGTTAAAGAGGAATGGCGGAACCGAACTGCCCTGCCTAACCCCACAGTGGATATAGATGGCTGTAAACCTTGACTCTACCTGAAATATTGAAGTATTGGGCTTTCAAAATGTTAAACCCTCCAGTGTTACTGTTAGAGATGGCCAATCCCTAAGCTAACTTATAATATTTTTATATTATCATTGTAAAGTTCAAGGCTTATTTTCGCGCCCTTTTTGCAGCATGTTATGTTTCTTATTTTTACGGCAGTTTAGAATGCTAAACGCTGATTGGTCCATTTTACACTTTGAATATACTATTTTTTCTCTGGCAAAGGCCATCTAAGGATAGATAAACGACTGGATTTTCACTTTTCATAAATTCGGTTAGAGTGAATAAATTTTCAGTCTAATCATCTTCTTCTGGTGTCAGCCGAATATCGAGTTGGGAAGTCATTGTTCTATCGTTAATCGCATTCGTTTCGGAGCGTTGCATCGTTATATATAGCGTTGGATCGTAGCAGTTACTTTTTTAACAGACAATTCTAGAGTATGGTCCTTGGCAGGTACCACTAAAGTTAGACAACTCACCTGATGACTCACCATTGGCCCTAGCGTGGCTATGAGTATTTGGGTTTAAAGTGTTGAGTGGGGTCGGTAACTCCATGAAACACTTCAGTAAGAGACAGCCATGAAACCTCTTTTGGTGGAGTCAGCTGTCACTCTCAGGTTAAGAAATATAGTTCTTAAAAGCTATTAGTAGGAATGTGTGATTAAATCACCCCCAACCAGATCTCCAAATTTCTTTTTGTTCTCTTGATTTTGTCGTTTATACGATTTCTTTCATGAATACTGAGATAAGTCAAACCGTGTCATATCTACCTCCTAAACACTAGCTAATACTTCAAGCAATCTAACCAATTAGTCTTGAAGCATGATCCGTAAATACCTCTGGTTCTGCTCCATTGAGAACTGCTACCCTTCTTCTTTTCATCTAAGGGTAGCTTTATAAAGTCGATGCTGGTTGTCACCAACTTGAGTAATGAGAATCCTATATTCTAGTACATTATTATATTATTATTATTAGTCCCTTGGTTTCCTAATGGAACATAGGGCTTCAGTAGCACATCTCCAGTGAACTCTGTTCTCTGAAATCTTTTGAACCTGGCTCCACGACAGCCCACAAGCTCTCATTTCCTCCTCGCACGATCTCCTCCATGTCACCCTCGCCTCCCACACCCAACTCGCCATTTCCCATCTGGGTCCCACTCGAGGGCCTGGCCTGGCGCGTGATGTCCCCAGTCGGCCTTCTCAGTGTATGCCAAATCCATCTCCATTTCCTTCTGCATATTTGTTGGGTGATAGGTTTTGGTTGGTTCTTTCCCAGAGTTCCTTGTTGCTTATTCTTTCTGCAATCCATCTGATCTTCAGGAGCGAGCCAGCGTAGGCAGTTGTTGATGAATATCTGTAGTTTATTGGAAATGCCTTTCGTAACGCGCCGCCAAGTCTCTGAGCCATACAGAAGCACTGACTTGAATAAATTGGTGTTGAAAATCTGAATCTTGTTCACGCTTTATGCTGAGTGCAGTGCAGAAGATCTCCACACTAGTTTCAGGTTAATGAACACCTGTCTTGCTGTATTTCCGATTCTGATTTTGGCATCCTCGTCTGTGCCACCACCACCTGTAGTTGAAACAGGTGGTGAAGGAGGTTACTTCTTTTAAGTTTCTCCCGTTGATGGTGATTGGAGTTTGTTGGAGTTGTTGGTGCGGTATCTTCATCACCTCTGTCTTCTCTATATTTACTTGAAGTCCAGTCTTCGCTGCCTCTTCTGTCAACTTGTTAGTTTTCACCTGTAGATCTTCAAGTTTGTGTGACAAGACATCAGACACAAGTCATCAGTGGCGAAATCCAGATCCTCTAGGTTCTTTTCCGCAGTCCAGCCATTGTATCCCCCTCTTCTCACAGCTCCCCACTGTTTGTTGCATGATCCAGTCCACTAGACCACAATCATGAATATCATGGGTGATAGTAGGCAACCTTGTTTCACTCCTGTCTCCACTTCACTTCAAAAGCATCACTGAGCTTCCCATTGTGAATTACTTGGCTGGCATGTGGCATCTTCACATAGTTGTTGAATGAGGCTGATAAAGGTTTGCGGTATTCCGTAGTATTGAAGCAGTTTCCAAATTACCTCTCGGTCGACGCTGTCGTAGGCCTCCTCAAAGTCGATAAAGTTGAGGTAGAGAGTTGACTGTCATTCTATACTCTGTTGTATGATGATGCGTAGTGTAGCGTTGCAATTTGGTCGGCACATGATTTGTACTTCCTGAATCCAGCCAGCCAGCCAGCCTGTTTCGGTCGTAGTTTTGAATCCAGTGCATCCTTTAGCCTCTCGAGGATGATGCGGCTTAATATTTTGCTTGGAGTGGACAGGAGAGTGATTCCGCGCCAGTTCTTGCAAACACTGATGTCTCCCTTCTTCGGGAGTTTGATAAGGTAACCCTTCTTCCAATCACCAGGTACCTTCTCTTCCTTCCACACCTTCTGCAATAGTGGTGTGGTGTGAGCATGTCTGCTGTTGTCTCTGCGTGTGTTCTCAGTGCTTGTGGCGGGATTTCATCTGGTCCTGCTGCTTTCCCACATTTCAGTAGCTTTATGGCGTTCAGGACTTCCATTTTTGTTGGAGGATTTATGTTCACTTGTAGTTCTATGGCCGGGTTGTAGGTGGTATTTCTGGGCGAAGTGCAGGTGGTGGTCGATTCAAGAGCTTCTTGAAGTGGTCGGCCCACTGTTTCCTTTGTTTCTCTCCTTTTTTAATTAAATTTCCGTCATCATCCTTTATTGGCTTCGTCTGCGTTGATCTCTTCCCAGATAGTAACCTGGTTATTTAATACAATGTTGTCAGGTGTCTCTTACCTGCAGCCTGTTCTGCTTCACTTGCCAGTGTGTCGTAGAAGTGTCTTTTGTCTTTCCGTGCAGTCTTCTTCACTACTTTGTTCAGTGTTTTATACATTGTACTCAGTTCCTCTTGTCGTTGAGCATCCTTGCACTGATTTATCTTCTGCTTCACCATCTTCCTCTCCTCTATTAGCTTCCAGGTATCCGTCGAGATCCATTCATTATCTTCTTTCTTCTTCCTTCCTAATACTGTTGTGCAGGTTTCTTTCCGTATCTCTTCCAAAGACTTCCAGTACTCTTCCACTCAGGTTTCTTGAGGGATGTTCCTCGATATCTCCCATTTTGTCTTGATGGTTGCCTTGAAGACCTCCTTTGTAGTTTCATCCTTCAGTTTCCTAGTGTTGTACTTGAATTGAGGTCTATCACCAGCTTCCTTGAAGGCTTTTAACTTGATTTGGAAGGTTCCTTGCACTAGATAGTGGTCTGAACCTACATCTGCTCCTCTTCTTGACCTTGTGTTAAGTAGACTGCGTGTCCATTTTCTTGAGATTGAGATGAAGTCGATTTGATTTTTAGTGTGTCCATCTGGTGAAATCCATGTCGCTTTGTGGATATCCTTGTGCTTGAACACACTGCCTGGCCTCCAATTACCAAATCGTTGGATGCACAGAATTCTGCAAACAATTCTCCATTCTCGTTCATCACCTCACCGAGCGCTTCTCGACCCATGGTTAGTTCTCTTCCTGTGTCGTCCCCTCCTAGTTTGGCATTCATGTCGCCCATTAGAATTTTGATGTCGCCAACTGGAGTTATATCTAGTACTGGCTGAAGTTGTCTGTAGAATTCCTCCTTCTTCTGTTGCTCTGCATTATTTGTAGGTGCATAGTGTAGCATTGTATGATTGTGACCTTGCTTCCTTTTGAGTTGAATCTTGCTGTCATGATCCTGATGCTGGGGGAGATTGGTTCCCACTACATGAGAGAGAGCCTTCGATGCTGTTGGAGACATCATGATAGCCACTCCAAAACTCAGTGTGCTTGTGGTTGTCGTCTGGGTGACCAGAGTAGATTATTGATTCTCCAGTTGGTAGTTTGGAGAGTCCACTCCCATTCCATCTGCTTTCACAGATTCCTGACCCTTCGATGTTATACTTTCTCATCTCCTTTGCAATCTAGGCAGCTTTGCTAGGTTCAAACACTGTTCGTACATTCCATATCGTTATGTTTACTCTCGCTTTCATCGAGGGAGAGAAGACACATCGGCCGGGTCAATTGGCTTCCCGAAGGCCTTCACCAACTGGCGTCATTTCGTCTCCCCGATTCCAGCGAGGAATAATTCTGTTTTTATTTTTAATATTTTGTCTGCGCTTTGAAGCTTCTTTAGTGATTGGATTTGTTTTACGGGGTGGGGTTGCTAGCCGTATGCTCAACCTTCCCTCTTTACCCGGGCTCAGGACCGGCTAGTAATCAGTGAACTAGTTAACCAGGCGAGGTCACCATGGTTCACATAGCATGAGAAATTTACTAGCGTCTGCATGAACCACTGTTTCCTATCACTCTAAAAGCTTTAATTGTAGAAACGCGTTTACTAACAGTTATCTGGGTGAACTGCTTCTACAAGAGTTACGTATCTGACCTGAGGAATGTTATGGTGTATAAGCTTTTCTCTTAATCACTGATTTCGCGAACATTTGTTGATTGATTGTGTTAATAATTTTTGTGTTGAATCTCCTGGTCCCTTTATTATATTTCGTTTTAGTTCACAGTGTCATAAAGCTTCGTTAATCATCACACTTTTAGGGTAATACAACTGTAAAGTTAATTGGAAATATTTGTTTCATAGATCCTCTCTTACCAGTAGAGCCACAATAGAAGTTACCACTACCAGGTTGCTGACAATAATACAATGCATTCTTATACTCCTGAGTACCTTTTTAGCGTGAAAGCTACAAACCAAGTTTACGTGAGGCATAGATCTCACGTTCTTTAAATCGATGAAGTAAAAACTACAAAACTGATTAGTCTACTTACATATTTACCAGCTGTATGGTCTATGTTAACATGTCTCACAGATGAGTGGTTTTCCAAACATCAAAAAGGTTCCCTTTGAAAATCACCCAAGATCACCGATTAATATTTACCTCAGAAGTGTTGTCCACTAATAAAACTTTACTGCCAAGGTATACAAGTAGTTTAAAGTCACTCAAACTAATCTATAGGTTTCTCTTGCCAAACTAGAGTGGACTAAACCCTGAACAGCAGTTGTTTCCCTCGTTCAAGGTAGAGCACACCACTTACCAATATACGCCAAACAAATTTATCGCAGAGCCAAATCATTCATGTTAGTTGAATCTGTTTAACAAAATCTACAGGTTAACGTGATCGCTTTTCGGTTAATCTCGTTCATTAATGCAATTTGTTAATACTTTCCACATCATTTTCACTTTTAGAAAAAACGTACTAAGTTGGGAAACCTTACGAATGTATCGCCAAATGTAACAAACTGTATTGACCTGAAAAGAATTGAAAATGGTTACTTTCGCATAAAAATGATCTTGACATCTAACCGCTCCAAGTAGACAGGCCGTTTTCTTCAATATAACGTAGTAGCAGTCATTGTTCGATAAAGAGAATGATGCCTCAATAAATAACTATTTTTCATCCTAAAGTCTTCAAAAAATTTTGAGCTACAAGATACGGTCATATGGTGTCAGTTTACGGAACCACTGATCCCTATTAGCTTTAAACTAACCCTTAAATATTAGTCTATGTAATCTCTTTTTCTTTTGTACTTTGTTTTAGTTGGGTAATCCTTCATGTGATTGGGAGGAAGTTTCTATTAATGCTTTCCGAAGATTGATTGAATTGGATCTAACTCACATAAATCTGACATCTGCCTATCAGTTATTCACCCTTATTGGACCCTCTAAAAATTTACAAACTTTATTCCTGAATTGTAATGAAATTTCAGACCTACCAGATGTAATTGATAGTGGTGGATCGCCTTGGTTTCAAAACCTCAGTACCCTGGGTTTGAGAAAAAACTTGTTCACGAATTGGAATTATGTAAACCAACTATTACATTTGTCTAAATTACGTCATTTAATGGCATCTGAATGCCCAATTTTTGAAAGATCTAACAAGTTAGTGAAGTTTATTTTGTTCACATTTTCGAGTTCTTTGATGATCTTGTATATATCTTCAGATTTATTTCTTATTAGATATAATACCTGTCTCTATTGCAACGTGAACCGTTGCCTAACAATTTCAGGTCCTATTTGGGTAACGTCTCTCTGTAAAGCTTTTTGGAGCTTTTGTGTCTGTGGAATGGTGGCTTAGCCTTATTACCAGACTTCCACTTAGGCAATTACGGGTTCGAGCCCTGCTTTACTTCGAGATGTATAGGTAGCTATATGATTTGGAATCTTCATGCAGGATGTGTAGACCGTCACCTAATAGACAAACTGGTAAGTGGCTTCAAAATAAAATTTACACACAAAAATCTCGAGAATTACGTAAGACAGCAGTCTTTTTAGCATAACTGTCTAGTTGCTCCATTCATTTCATTTCAGATAACAAGCATTGCTCTAGTGCCGTCTGGTGTATGCATGTCTGTTTCAGCACGTTTTTTGTGGAAACTTCCTTTTGCTAAACTGGTGATACACACTAATTTCGATGGCATTCTCTATTTCTTGTGTGACTATTTAACATTTTGTTCTCCGGAAAGTTATACTTTTTACAATTTTTCAGCCGTTGTGAGCTCTCTCTGCGAAAAACTTGTTCTTTAATTAACTGGATGCACATGAGTTGTAGCTGCTGTCTCATGTGACTTTTGTCCAACAGCCGTAGTGCTATTCTTGATGTAGAAAACGATAAACAGACAGACAGACAAAGTCAACAGCACTGGGCACTATTGCGTAACCGTCCAATTTGCCACACTTCATATCAGCACATCAATCAACAAAGCAAGATAGCGAAGGTGAAGAAAGGGAAAAAACGGTGAAAAGCAGTACAAAGTAAATGAGAGAAAGGTGGGATGAGAAAATGCTGAATTCAGTTTAACGGTTAAGATGAAGATAATCTGTGACTACATCTGCGCCACTGAAAGAGATTCTCATCCATATCATGTACAGTCTGCAACTACTGTTTTCTGCTGTCACGTGGACCCCAACCGGGTAGTCCGCATCTCCCTATGTGGATCAGACCAATAGTCAAAGAGTTCATGCACTGTTGCTATGTTTTAGTCTGGCCACGTCTAACCTATTGCAGTCTGGATCTACTCCAGCTAACATTGTGGGACGAGACAGGCACACATGTTCTAGCCATTTGTGTCGATTAAGGTTCACAACCTTATCAACTAACTTTTCTCTCTCCCGTAAAACACTACGCCTAACTTCTACATTGCAGATGTGGTGACACCACGGCACATGGCCTATGCTGCGAAAGCGACGGAGGTCAAACACCTGAAGCCTTATATCGTCTACCCCTAGTGGACATGTTTCACAGACAAATAGAATAAGAGAGTCTGCTACGGCGTAGTATACTCAACCCTTGATGAACAAAAGAAGAGATAGTTCGGCGAAGAAAATTTTGTTTTTCGACGATATCATTTTCTAAAGCTGTACAATCGTATGTATATATACCACAAAAATATAACAATTTATTATTAAACAATAGTGTATCAATAAATAAATGTGGTTTTACAGCTTTAGGAAATGATATCGTCGAGAAAGGAAATTTTCTTCGCTGAATTATCCTTTGATGGACAATCGGATATCACGGCGGCACCTCAGATGGAGCAAGTTGGCGATGGACAAGCAAACCTTTTGTATCAGTCACCGATCCACCAGGGCCGACTTAGTCTCCCAGGTGAATGAAAAATGGTCAATGTGCTCAACCATTCCACCGTCTTTTCTTTAACAAGACTCCAGTGAAGACCTGTCCTGGATCAATAATCGACATTTCAGTGGCGAGAAACGCATCCAAAATATTCTCAAATTGCTACTCAATCTGTCCAGAAGACTTTGCATCTTGTCAGTCTTCACCTAACAGGACTGTGTCGTCTGTATACTCTAGGTGTAGTAAGAATTCTCTTGTGATAAGATCAATCCCTATGGAGTCATATGGAGAGAGAAACAGAGAGACCTCCAGAAGTACGTGAATAGTAAAGTTAAATAAGGATAGACAGAGTGAACATGCTTGACGTACACCACTCGACGTAAGCAATTCATCTGATAACTCATCATAGGCTGTAACACGTCCACGGATGTTCAAGTACAGAGCCTTCACTAGAGTGATGTACTTACTCAGCACTCTTTCAGTGAGAGGCGGAGTTATTAGATCTCTCGGTTAGGAAATTTAACCATTTTGGGGCATCCGTAAATATGCCTATGTTCCAAAACTTGGTATAGTGTAAATATCTGGTGGACACTCCCACGGTCATGTCTGAAGCCTACCTAGTTTTCTCATGCTTTTTGTTCTTGAACTCCACTTAGACGTTTGATAATTAAAGAATCTAGAGTCTTAGGCAGTATGTTTGTCATGCTGATTCCCTTGTGATTATTGCAGGAGGATTTCTTTCCTTTTTTGAAGTCTTGGACAATCAATGACTGAGACCAGTCAGGGGGGATCATATCTGATTCCCGTACACTAGTTGTCAATCTATTTAATTTGACCAATAATCCTCTGTCACTGTCCTTAAGTACCTCTAGTACTAGACCGTTTGACTTTATTGTGCTTCCTCGTTTCAGATTTCATACAGCATTCTCGACTTCTACAAGTGTTGGGGACCATGTCTGAGTGTCCCATTCAGCATCTGAATGGACAGCGGGCAACGGAATAGTAGCTGGAGGCCAGTTTAACTGTTCTTCGAAGTGTTAGGCCCATCATCCCTTTCTTTTTTCCTTCGAATGAATCTCAAACCCATCCTCCCCCACCAATATCTCACTAATCATTGACGTTTTCGGTTCAGTTTGCTGGGTACGTTTTAATATGTCTCAGTGTTACCTGTCGCCTCTGTGACTTCCATTTTCTTAGCTTTCGCTGCCCACTACTGCTCTCAGTCATTGTGTATACTTTTTGTCAGTCAACATTTGAGCTGCATTCACTCCTTATTGTACTCAGAACCTGCAGGGATGCGTCCATGTGCATCAATTAAATCAGAAGACTTTCTGAGAGTAAGCTATGGTCTATAAAGCCGTTTTTACGGCATACTAGAGATGCTGTCATGCTCCTTCGAGGTGGGTGATGTTATTCTGTACTGATAACTAACCGTCTAACCTGTTTCTTGGTAAAATCAGCTTTATTATTCTCACCATCAAGCAAAATTCGAAAGGGTCTTGTTGCTGGAATTCCGGTAGTGTCACCTATATGACTTTCTGCCCGACTTAGCCTACCCACTTATGCATTGAAACCAACTGCTACAACAACTACATATGAAGGTTTGATTTCCATTGGAGGGAGCTAGATAGTTTTCGGTAGAACTCATTCAGTTGATTCGTGCCGCAGTCAAAGAGTGCGTAAGCAAAGAATTCAAAGACAACAGTGAGTTCCATTACTCTTTTTATTCCTCACTATGCCGTTCAGTCGAACAGCACGTAGGTGACTGTGAACTGGGATCCAGTTGAGGAGTGCAAATGGTGTCTTGAAACTCAGTGTTATACCTACACCTGGAAGACCACGAGGACTAAAGATTGAATCTCCAGAAACTTGAAGGGTGAATCTCATGGATTCACCATATTGACTAGGTGAGGTTAAGTGAGCAGCTGCATGGGTTCTGTATGTGTGTCTCACAAACACAGCCCACATCGTTGACCCGAAATGCCAAAGTTCTGGTTAGTGAGGCTTGTCTGTCGGTTTGACGGAAGTGCAGGCACTGAAAGCTGCGATATGTAATTTGGAGCTCAGTTCCAGGAAACCAGAGACGCTATTCCGTGAATTCAGATAATTGTCAAGAGCTGCAGAGGTGGAGGAAATTAAAGGTGACAAAGGACTATTGATCAATTATGACAGCGGCTGAAACTTCCCAGCTGTGCATCAAGTCTACTCATCTTGGGTTTGGTTTGGAAAGGTCTACGATTCTAAGTGATAATAGAGTTCATTTTTCTTCGGATTTTAATCAGAACCAAAGGTTAAAAACTTGACAGTCATTTATTGCTGTAAAAGATCCACTTGTTCATCTATCCAAGGAAGTTTTATTTACTACTGTAAAACTCAAATTCACTTTAGAATTACTCTTCAGTTTTTAACTTCAAATTACTTTTAATTTCGAAATAAAATAAAACTTTAGTTGTTCACCCCTTGCAAATAGAAATTTCTAGGTTAATTCATCGTTTTTAAAATGTGATTTTCAGAAGCATCAGTATTTTATGTACCGAATAAAGTTATGGTGTAAATGTGTTTTTTTTACCGACTATTGTTGCAATATAATTGCAACGGGTTCATTGAGCTCACCTTGAATTTTAGAATACCTTTCCAGTATGAGGTATTTCGATGCAAAAGTATTTATATCTATATAATTCAAACATCATGAGGATGATAATGGTTTATCGTTTATTGAATATCTGTAGTTTCGTATGATTCACTAAACTGGCAAGAGTGTAGATCACACCCACAGTACTACAGTGGATTTTGTTCTATGATACAGTTGTAAGATGTGATCGTTGACGACAAACAATGAACGACCACGGATAGTTCTCACTTGATGGATTTCAATAGATGCAACTGAAAACCAGTTACAATCATACAGTTATATTCACTCTTCATTTTGATCTAAATTACTGATTCTTATGGGGTTTTTTTTTACCAGTTATTCTTTTTCCTGATCTCTGTCTTTATATCATAGTTAAGTGAAGACTGACAAAATGCAATCTTCTGAACTCCATTAGCAAAAATATGAATACTTTCGACGTGTGTTTTGTACTTGTCAAATGTAAATGACATTTTAGGACTAGTCTGCAGGAACTCCCTAGTTTAAGAGTAGGAAGTGAAGTGGTAGAATTCATTGACCGCTTTGGTTACTTGGGGAGTTGTATCACAACTGGAATGGCTTGGTTGTTGAAAGTATAGCAGAAAGTATCTGATGCTTAGGGATTAGTATACCTTGTCACTTTTTGAAGTCGTATGATGTAATAAGAAGATAGAGGTTATCTGAGCAATGTGATACAGTGGACTTCGAAATATATTAACCTGGACAGCTGTAGTGTGTTGTTAATGCAGCTAAGTTTATCACTATTACTCTTGATTTCATACGGTGTATACTGGTTTTGTGAAACGTCGACTGTATTAGGTCGAAACCTCCTAACTCACAATCCGTAATATTTTATTTTTTTAAGAATTATTCTTCTGTTTTTGTTTATATTTATAACATAACTTCCTAATTTCTTTGTATTCACACTAATCCAGCAAGGAAATTGCTCGTCAGGAGGTAATTGCTCGTTTACCAAATCTTAAGATTTTGGATCGTGTTGAGATTACTCCTGAGGAGCGTCGTGGAGCAGAACTAGATTATCTGAAGCGTTATGGAGCAAGTTGGTTGCATCTTAACAAACCTGATCATACTGACGAGAATAGTAGTTCTGAAGAATCCGAAAAATTCCATAGATTACATCCCGTTTTTGCTAGACTTTGTGACAAATATGGAGCTCCTGAAATCGGAGAAACCAAGGTAATTTTAATGTTATCAAAGCCTTTATCCTTCAGAAACTGTATCTTAACTCTTACTTTTGGTTACATGTAATGTTTATAAACATTTAGCTCATTTTTATTGACTGTATGGTTAACATACCTTTGGTAAAACACATTTGTGTTTCGTTTGATATATATCTTCTTCATCAACATTCTACTTGTCATTGATGTCAACCTAGTGAGCCTAGTGAGTTTTCGTACAGATTAAATCGACACTTTTCACAATGCTAATATTCATGGAACTTTGATATCACCTAAGGTCCCCCAGTCATTGGTTTCATCTATCATGAGTACTCGAAATATGAAAGCTTCATGTAACAGTCAAGCAGTTAGTATGTTTATGAGTTAATGAAATGACTTAGTTGAATCATTCTTACCTTTTTTTTCAACCCAATATTACTCTAGTCGTCTTCATACATCGAATTAAGGGATTGCATGATATGTGTAGTATATATTCCAGTCATTACATTTGGAAGAAGTTGAAAACCTTATCGACTAAATAATCTTTCTGAGGTATAACTTTTCTTATAACTTCAGCATTGCTCACTCTATGCTTTTTCAGATGAAACAGTCAATCGACCGACATCTAAACTCGCTTGTTTATATTTATGAAGTGTGTTTTGACTTCAGTTCTTTGAAGAGTTACACAGATGATGTCTTACATTCCTATCCATATCATTTTCTTGTTATATTCATTATTCTAATACTGTCTTTCTTCAACTCACTATTTTAGCTAGTTACTCGTTCAATAAAAGAAGGTCTTATCTCTGTTATTTTTGTATTACAACGTGACAGTAGTAAAACAACCAAAGAATCCAGTAGTCAGTTATCATTGGACAACAAGGATATGGTTGAAAAACAAATCCCTGATCGAATGACTATCAAACATTTACGTATGATGATTAGGCGGTTGTTTCATTTATCACCAAAAACACTGTTTGAATTATATGCACAAGTAGATGGATATCATGATATGAACATGCAAATACCACTGGATTTAGATACACGTGAAATAGGATTCTATAATCTAGAAAATGGTGATCATATTTTTGTACGAATACAATGACTTACTTATTTCTCTCTTTTCTTCTTCTTACCTGTTAACTGATCATTTTAATATATACCTGGTTTGTATATTTCAAAATATGTTATTATCAATAAACTTATATTCGGTTACTCTTACTATCTGCACTTTTGACTGTTACTTGAAGGGATCTTCTATCAGTTATGTGTACATGTTCGTATGAAAGAAGTATTCTATCAACCGATTGTTTCACTATCAACATAGCACAAAGCATTACTTCGTAACCGTCCAATTTGCCTCACTTTATATCAGCACACCAAGTAACAAACCAATAAGATGAAGGATGAAGAAAAGAAGAAACTCGGTGAAAAGCAGTACAATATATTAAATGAGAGGAAGGTGGAATGAGAAAATGCTGAATTCAATATAACGGTTAAGATGAAGATAATGTGTGGCTACATCTGCTCGATTCTCAGCCATCTTATCTCCAACCACTGGTTTCTGCTATCACGTAGACCTAAACCCACTAGTTTGCGTCTCCCTACATGGGTTAGATCAACAATCAGAAAGTTCACGCACTGTTGCTATGTTTTAGTCTGGTCACGTCTAACCTATTGCAGTCTGGATCCACTTCAGCTAACATTGTGGAACGAGAAAGATGGTGACTAGGCATGCGTAACATATATTCTACCACTTGAGTCGATGAAGGTTCATAACGTCATCAACTAACTTTCCTCTTCAGACTGAAACTTCAAACCTGACACCTACGTTACTTGATTGGTGGCACCACAACGCACAACCTATGCTACGAAGGCACTTAAAGCCCACTCATATCGTTTACCCTCAATGGCGATGTTTCACAGACAAATAGAATAAGAGAGTGAGCTACAGCGTAACATACTCAACCCTTTATAGACAACCGGATACTGAGGCGGTCACAAGTGGTGAAAGTCAGTCTAGTCTTTTGCATGTGTGCTGAGATTTCATCGTTCTCTCACCCACCAGGACCCATCTAACTTCGCATGTAACTGGAGTGTTTGACCCACTCAACCACTTCACTACCCATTGTTAGCCGGGCACTGCTGAGACTCAGTTGTTTCGGTAACCTACAGTGTATTAATACATACGGCTTTAGTTAGTTTCATATCTAAAGGTAATTAAGCGGAGAAGTGTTGGTAGCAAAGATAACTCAGTGATGATGTTGTTACTGTGCTAGCTGGTCATATTAATTAAGTTATTGAAAAGCAGTGCGTTCGGTGATAGGCTGCATTTCTCGGGAATGTTGCTGACATTACGTCATCAAGTATTCTGTAATGTGGCTTAGATAGGACTGTTATGAACTAGTTGACTGTTTCAGTATCAACACTTTTTTCTAATTTACTATAAAAAGACAAGATGGGGCTGCAGTGAAGAATTTTTTTTCCTACGAAGTCATTTACTGAGTGGGCAGAACGTTCCAGAATTATTTCCGGTTAGGGGGAAAAATATATTGAGTAACTAATGGAAGTAAATTAATACACATTTGGGTTTAAAGTAGGAAAATAGACAGGGGATTATGAAATCAAACGTAGTTACTTAATACAGGATGGATGTATGGTAAAGTGGGAAAATGAACGAAGGGTTATGAAAATAAAATCGTGATTATGTAATACCGGATAAACCTATGACAGAGTACGAGGACACTGTTGACGGAGAACTACAAATCCTTCGACGAACTTTAGCGGAAAATGGTTTCCCGCTCAGATTCATAGATAAGAACATGAAGCCAAAGAACCCAAGTGAATGAAGTTATTTGGGACCGAAAAAGAATCTTTTGTTGAATCTTGAATTCAAAAATGATATTGCTGCAGAGATCCTGAGGAAACGACTGTCAGGATCCTTAAACAGAACATACTTCGCCGCCAACCTTCTGATTATTTTCTCCTGCAAGAAACGTTTTGGTCAATGCGTGAAAAACAAGCCGATGCATTGGGCCCCATCAATGTGTGTATACCAGTTTACTTACTCTTGTGGAGCTGAGTACATCGGCCGTACCATGCAACCGCTTGTAAAACGTCTCCGCGAACAATACCCAGCCCGAATGGCAAAGGGAGAACGGAAATATATCTTCAGTTCAATAATAGAACACCTCATGAACTCAGGCCACTTAACTCCTTTCAAGAGCTCATTCAAAGTTCTCTAGAGTGTTCGATCAAACCGCTTGATGGTAGTCTATAGAACCTTCAATCGACTTTGGGCAACATGCACAGACACATTTACCAACAGCCGACACTTGCCATATTCCCTAACCTGTAGGGGACATTTGACCCTGCCACTTGTGAGGTATTGTGGCAGTGTCTGAGTGTGAAGACGGTACCGAGCAAGTATAGAATGTTGATCAAAGATCTCCATTGGAACTCGTGCAGCCGTGTTGTCATGTGGATCGACGACAACTGGCGGTGTCCAGAAGGGATCCCTACTCTCATCATTCCTATTTAACTTCGTTATAGACGTACTGGTGGATATAACCTTTGATATGCCTGACTTACAGGAGTTGTCCTACTACCTGAAGATAATCTAGTTGACTTGTAGTATGCAGACGATGTTGTCCTGCTAGATGAAGATGCTGATGCAAAGTAGAGTGGTGTGAACCTTTTAAGCACAAATCTGAGTATGTTTGGACTGTGTTTCGATGGCACTTGTCACATATAAGACGATGCTACACAACTGGTCTGCAATGACTCCCAGTTCAATTATAAGAAGTGGACTGGCGGGATATGTTGACCACCTCACTTACCTAGGCAGTTGTATCAGTTCGAACCGGTTGGTTGCAGAAGGCCCATTTGACATTTGTCAACTTGCGTCATCTGTGGTACCGACTGGTGAGATATCTGACTACCTGGTTAGTGACGAGTATACCGTGCTGCAATCCTTTCTGTCCTGTTGTGCGGCTGTGAGACATAGCCGTTAAAGTTAGAAGACACGAAACGATTACACGGTTTGATAACACGTATCTTCGAGTTGATCGAGAATATTTGTAGCTCAGAAGGATGATTTTGGTAGTGTTGTGTTCTCTGAGCTGGACTGTCACTCTAGACAACATCATCAGCACAAACTCCATAGCATTGCTGGCGTTTGTGGAATCACCGTGTGAGCAATGTTGAGGTCAGGTGAAAAGCACTAGACAAGTCGATTGGCGAGGTTATGAACCTTGGATTACTATGATGGCTTGGATATGCACTGCACATGCCGATCCACCGCCTGTCTCGAAGTGCCATGTTAGGGGAAGTTGGCAGGGGGTTCTGGGTGGCCGAACCAAAATGTGACATCAGTCAGTGAAGCCTCTTACTATTGGTCTGAGCCGTGTGGAGAGATGTAGACTGCCTGATCGGGTTCCTCGAAACGGTAGAAATCAGTGGTTAAGAACTCTTCGTGAAATGGCTGAAAATTGGTCACAATGGCTCAGATTTATTCATTCCTTAACATCTAAAGCTTGAATAGTTGCACTAACCTTTATCGTCCGATTATTTATATTCTCATACTACTTTGATATTACCCCTTTTCTATCTACCTGTCGTTTGTATACTACTTTGAAATGTGTTAACTTGAGCCGCTGCACTTGTGCACTAGGTTTCACGTTTATTTTATGTCAGTCAACTTACGTGTAGTCTCCTTAGTCGCTATCCATACTATATATGGTATTAGTCGTTTTAGCAGAAATATTAAGATGATTCTCAATTAACTTTGATGACATTCGATTGGAAGCTCACCACAGTTTCATGCTTGAGGATATTCATCAGAATGACTTTTCTAATGTATTGAAAAAGCTCAGAAACTTGGGCTCTATGTCGTACTTAATCATATAATTTTCTGTACACAGCATAGAGATAGCCTGCTCTCTAATATAGCTTTCTCCCTTGATATATTTTATTAATTACTAGATAAAAGCTGTTTAACTTAAGGTTTTAACTGTTTCAATTTGTTTTATGGCGAATACTCCTTTTCATTTCATCATCTTATTTATGTTTTTATGCATACTTTGAGTAACTTCAACTGACTCTCCTCTCCATGTTTCATTGTGAATGTGATATTGAGACGGTGATTACTGAGCCTCCAAAGATTCAGTTCTGCTTGTTGAGTATTGTTATACACAAAAAGCGTTCACGGAATAAAACACATTGGCTCCATCATTGTAATTTCTACGTGTGATAATAAAGAGATGTCAAGCATAATTCATTTTAATGTACTTCCCATCTTTCGTTATATAGGTTTTTTGGACTCTTCAATAATTATGTTCGTCAAAAATTTTGTTATATTACTCTTACAATCGATAGTTAACTTCATCCGGGTGGGTGTTTTCTCGTTTATTCATTATAACAATATCATAGTTGTCAGATTCAAGAATTAGGAATCGTATCTCTTGAAACTTTGCGCCAATTTATATTCTATAAAGCAAAGTATGTTAATCAATTTTACACTGATTACTTATCTGATCAAGTTGTAATACAGCTGATCAAAACCCTTTGAAAGTAGATACCGTCATTTCAATCCCCCAGAATTGTTCTAATTGTTTCTGTAGACTTCAGAACTAAAATTTGATAGAATAGAATTGAATAAATTGATCATTGGGTAAATGGTTCATAAAGGTGAAAAATAAATTTCTAACTTTTTGCAACACTTCACAGAATCTGCTTCTTCAGAGAGTGAAATATTTGCAAATTGTCACATATTTAAATGATGAATCGATACAAATTAGACTATCTGTTCATACATATACCTAAAAATGATAATATGGTTGTCTTTTTGAAATATTAGTCCTTGAGTTCAAGGTGAAGATGTGAATATGTGAGTAAAGCAAAATATGAATGAAAGGTTTAGTTTGTTTATATGTATATGCACTTTAGGGTTATGGTTAGGGTTTTGACTGTATTGTTCATTTTTATCTCTAAAAAAGACATAATGGAGTTTATAACTGGAAATAAAAAGCTGGATATTCAAGAGACAGTAATCAATACCATATTGTTTGTCCCTCGTTACCAATTTAATTCCTGTAGAACAATACT